GGGGCGGAGGGAAGGCGGGGCGGAGGGAAGGCGGGGCGGAGGGAAGGGAGGGAAAGATGGATGGAACTGACTGACTGAAGGACTTTATGGTTATCTAGGCACGGTGGTACTTTAATCCCAGCACTTGGAGGAAGAGGCAGGAGGACCTTTATGAATTTGAGAACAGCCAGAGTTCAAGGCAAGTCAGGGCTACACAGCAAGACCCTGCCTACAAAACACCCACCCCCCCAAACCAAAACAAGATCTCAAGGTCCCAAGGAGCCTCAGGGAGGGAGGGAGGCAGCTTTGCAGTGTTGTCGCCATGGAGATGGAAGATACAGGCAGTGAGGTTTTTTTAGGGCAAGGGTCAGGGGTCAGGTACTTAGTTCTGTTTGGTACCAGGGGCCTGGGTTATAGCAGAATGGGTTATGTACTTTACCCTTCCCTGGCCCCCACGTCTAGGGTTCAAGTCTGTGGTTAATCCCTGCCCAGTACCAACCTGGTTTTTGTGGAGCCTGTCTAGCCTGGGGAACTATATCTCAGCTCAAGATGGCCAGGAGTCTCTTCGGTGTCTGATTAGAAAGACCTGGGGACCAGGAACCAGAAACTTGGGGACAACAGGGAAGCAAGTTCCACCCTTTTGCGGCCAGGAAGGGCCTCAGACCATCCCTAGAAGATTTTGAGGGGATCAGCAAAGTGTGGGTTTTGGACATCCCAAAGGCCATTCAAGTCTCCCTCGTTTGCAAGGTCCTTTGGGAAAGAACCTCAGCCTTTGGATTTGTGCTGAAGGCAGAGTGACTTGGATTCATTCTCTGTCTAGTCCCTGGGACACAGTAGATGCTCAATAAATACTTGTTAAAGGAATTTTGCCCAGAGATTTCTTTTTTGTTTATTTGTTTGTTTTTTGAGTCAGGGTTTCTCTGTAGCTTTGCAGCCTGTCCTGGGACTCGCTCTGTTGACCATGCTGGCCTTGAACTCACCGACATTATTACCAACGGGCAAATGAGATGAAAATTTCCCAGCTAGAGGCTCATGGATACCTTTCCTTCACTGTTTCCTGGAAGTAGACCTGTTAGCCAGCCCCAACTCCGTTTTCCATTAGGGTGGAAAAACAGGTCCTGGCATTTTCCCTTCTGAGCACAAGCTATGCCTGGTGGCCAAGCTCAGGACCAAGTTGGGATCAAGAAAGCAGGGGTGGTTAGACACAGAGGCAGACTTTTCAATCTGAAGGTGACATAATCTCATACAGGCTAAACTTCTTTTTTAATTATTTTTATGTGTATTTATTTTTGTGTGTATTTGTGTGTGCATGCCACAGTGTACCTGCGGAGACCAGAGAACGACTTGTGGTAGTGGGACCTCTCCTACCACCACGCGGGTCCCTGGGATCAACCCCAAATTGCTAGGCTTGGCAGTAAGCACCTTTACCATCTCCCTCCAAGGTCTAGAGATAGTGATCACGAAGCAACGAATGCACCGCTGCAGTACTGCCTTTGGCCATGAGGGGGCACTCGCGACAGCATCTTAGAGGAGCTAGGCTAGTCCTAAAGATGCTTATTCATGCCAGATGGATATGTGGAGGAGGAAAGCTGGCGTCAGTCATGAAAATAAAATCATTTTTCCTGATAAGGTTTTCTCGCTGGAGCCTGGTTGAGCTTGAACCAACAAACACGACTAAGAAGTTTCTGCCAAGCTGGGAGAGCAGAGGAAATTTACTTAGACCTGTTTTCCTCTTTATTAGTTCAGAGTTTATGACCCGCTGCCTGCAGGGAATGTTTTTGTGTATAATTCAAACAGTCTGTTTTCCCATTCCCTGGAGTGCCCTGCTGGAACAAGCCTGGGCTGATGACAGATAGCCCTGCGTGCTGACCTCAGAGGTCAGCACCAGAAGTGTGTATGTGGGCATAACTCCAGGCTAGCAACAACTGCAGCTGATTTAGCCCACGACTGCCTCAGGGTTGATACTTCCAACACATCCCCGCAAAAGGGGAACCTCAGAAGGCCAAGAGCAGAGAACAGGCTACCGTACGCGTATACAAGCCCAGTTTTTACAGTGTTCCATAGGCTGCCTAGCCGGCTGGCCTTCCTATCACTCGGTCGGTCGAATGTCTGCCTTTCCCTATGTGGATACAGAGTGGGATAAAAGAGAAGATGCTGGTTCAGGCCCTGCTTGATGGCAGAAGACTCCTCAGACGTCATAAATTCTGAAACCCAAGCAGGAGGAACCCTGCAGGACAGCAGTTTCCTCGCCTGTCCTCTCCAGAGGTGTCAGGACCAGAGCGCCACCAAATAGTCAGTTTGTTCCCATCCTGTATTGAGGCCCACTTCTCATTCTGGCCCTCCATCTCTGCCTCTCCTATGGCTCCAGTCAACGTGAGACTTCACCTCTCGAAGTAACTCCCTTAATCTTCCTGACCTAAAGGGTCAGGGCTGACTATTTGGGAAGAGAGAAGGAGAAAGTTCTTGGAAGGAAGGTGAATTCTTCAGAATTCTCTGGAGGCCAAGGAGGACAAAGAGAGCTGACACAGGAAGGTTGGGTGGGAAGACCCAGAATGTCAGGTAGGAGCAACTGTGAGAGACAGCGTAGACGAGCCAGGCATGACTGCTTCAAGTAGGACTCAGATCCATCTTCTTGGGACCCAAGGAAGAAGGCCAGGAAGGCCCATTTCTATACTCTGCTTCCTGGAAAGAAGGTCTCTCACGGACCTCAGAGCTCAGCTCGGAGGCAGGTCACATGTGAGCTCTGGAGTTCAGACACTGGTCACGTAGCATATGTTTTCAGGGCCCACTTGCTTCCTGGCACCGTCCTTGTCTTCTGAGGTAAGACCCTGCATTGGGGCAGACTCTGAGATGGCGTCTTCCACCTTGGCTTGCCCATTTTGCTTCAGCTTCTTCTTCTTCTCCTCGGTGTAGAAGCCCCCGCCAATGAAGAGGGAGGCTGAGATGAGCAAGAAGCTGGAGGCGTAGAAAATGGACTTGAAGTTGTTGGTCGTGTCCAGCAGGAGTCCTGAGGGACAGAAAATGAGTTATTCCACCACGGAAGCTAGAAGGGGTCCTCCAACTAACTTGTGTATTTGAGGAGGGTAGAGATTTTAGATTCACAAGAAACTGGGACTGATACCTTGGAGGTGCACAGCAGATACGTGTGGAATAAAAGGTGGGGAGGAAACACCTGGCTTCTGGCCTAGGCAGATGTCCTCCCCAGGAGAGAACCAAAGGGCCCTTTATCCTCGGTGGCAGGGCAAACGGAGAGAAGGGTCAGTGGAATACGAGCGTCTGTCCAGCCATGACTTTTTTTTGGCCCTAACCCTACCTTTTTAGGCATTCATTTGCCTGCAGAACTTCCCAGGAAACTGGAACTCACTGATACTGGGTGATGAGGGCGCACACCTTTAATCCCAGCACTTGGGAGGCAGAGGCAGGTGAATATATGAGTTCGAGGCCAGCCTGGTCTACAGCATGAGTTCCAGGATGGCCAAGGCTACACAGAGAAATCCTGTCTCAAAACAAACAACAACAACAACAACAAAACCAGCAATAACAACATAAAAAAAACCCCGAAAACCCAAAAAAGCAACTCATTGAGCTGAGTGTAGATAGATTCTGGCCATAGTCACTGCCACACCGCTTGAGTGTCGGCTACCCCCAGGACCAGCTTTCTCCCACCGACCCTGATGGTCCCCCTCAGGTGTGCAGTGTGCAGTAGCCTTCCCCTATGGGCCTTATCTTCCAAATTCTGCTTGTTTTTCTCCTAGCGTCAGCCCCCACGTGTCCCTTTGCTGCCATCCTTGAAGATAAGGCCCAAGAGTGGGGCTTTGATCCGTGTACTCTGTGATTGGTCTGGGTGGATGGGTATGACACGTGTTTCCTTCTGCATTCTGTAGTTGGCATTCTAGCTCAAAAAGAAAGAGCAATTGCCTGGGACTCGCAGGCTGGAGAGCCAGGCTGTTAGTTACAGTAAATGCAGGTATGGCTCTTATCGTGAGCGTGCCCTTTGCTTCAGACCTTGGGATCCTTACTGCAAGGCGGTGCCTTTTATCATCACGCTTCACTAATAGGAGAAGAGGGACAGAAAAGGTGACGAGAGATTCACATAGGCCTGGAGTGCAAACCTCTTCCCTCTGTTTCTCCTCCCTTCTCTCTCCCCTCCCTTAAAAAATCTTTTACTTAAGTGCATGAGTATTTTGTGTTCATGTGTAAATGCATGCCACATGTGTGCAGTACCTACAGAGGCCTGAAGGGGGCATTGAATCCCCTGAAACTGCATTTGAAGGTGGCCGTGAGCCATCATCGGGTGTTGGGAACTGAACCCAGGTCCTCAGCAAGAGCAACAGTGTTCTTAACTGTTGAGCCATCTCTCCAGCCTCTCCCTCCCCTAAAAGAGATTTATTTATGTATTATGGATGTTTTACCTGCGTGTCTATAAGTGTACTGTGGAGGCCTGAAGAGGGCGCTGTACTCCCTGGAGTTGGAGTTATGAACAGTTGTGAGCCACCACATGGGTGCCAGCAAGGAACCCAGTCCTCTCTGTCTCTCTTTTCTCTGATGGGGAGGCTGAGACAGGGTCTCATATAGCCCAGGCTGGCCTCAAACTTGCTCAGTAGCCAAGGGTGACCTTGAACTTTTGATCTTCCTGCCTTCATTCCCCAACTGATGGGATTGCAGGCATGTATCACCAAGTCTGGCCAAGCCTATATTTTCATACCTTGATTGTCAGGTAGATAACATACTATAGCATGGTCCCTGATCTTCTGAGGGAAAGGTGAGGATCACATATTTAAGTTCCTTGTGACAGAGGCTCTCCTTTGCTTTGCTCCCTATGTCCTACCTATACCCT